GTCCTTCCTCAGATTCAGTCCTCAGACCATTTGCTTGGGGCTTGCTTTCTTTGAAGATGAGGATCTGGAGTTCCGGGGGTTAGAAGCAGGACCTACCTATACTGACCAGCCATCTTTGGGACATGGGGATGATGAGGTTTAAGTCTTAATGTGTCTTTCTAAGGATTATAGGTCATGTAAAGGCATTGTTTGACACTCAATCTGCCTGAGAATCCCTGCTTTCTTCTTCTACAATCTTTGCTCCAAATTGAAAAGACACACACAACCAAAAAAGACAAGGCCCTCTACAAATTCGACTAAATGCTTTGAGACCTCCCAGAGAAGGGAAATGGTTCAAACTTTAATTATATACATGTATAACCATTTAGTGTAGGGCTTCCCAGGTGGCTCAGTGGTAAAGAATCTGCCTGCCAATATAGGAGATGCAGGAAACTCGGATCTGATCCCTGCGTTGGGAAGATCCCCTGGAGTACCCTGTGGTAAGAAATGGCAATGTACTCCAGTATTTTTGCCCGAAAAATTCCATGGACAGAAGAGCCTGGTTGGCTACAGTCCATGGGGTCGTAAAGAGTCGGACACAACTGAGCAACTGAGGACACACATAACCATATGATACATAATGTTTATATTTTCCTCTGAATTATAAACACTTAAGACCATGTCGTTGGGAATCAAGCAGTTGATAGAATTGCACGGACAAATGTGCTGGATCTGGGTGGACATGTATTGAAGTAATAGCCTTGATTGATGGGCCAGTGAATTCAGAGTGGGTACGTAAGGAATATAAGGTCTGAGTTTTTAGTGTCAGCTCTGCTAATTGCTGAGTATACCACCTTCACCCATCCTGGGCCCATCCTTTGTCTCTCTAAAAAAGAGTAATAACCTTTGCTTCCCATTTGAGTTCCCTGGAACTCAAGCTATGCTTATGAAGAGTCTGTGCAGGGTTGGGCATCTGAACTCCCAGTCTCAACCCGTGTCCTGAGGACACCTGTCCCTGGGGCTCTCAAGGCCTTTACACCGCCCCACACGGGCCTCAGAGGAGCTGTGTGCCCCCTCAAGATGCCAGCAAGATGCTGGGTGGGTAGCAAATCCTTCCGGGATTCCCTGGAGCTTTGCTGAGGTCAGGCTGGCCCTTTAAACCAACAGTTTACTCCAGGTTCAGGAAGGACAAGAGGGAAATGAGCACAGAGTACCTGGAACCCAGAGATGAGATCTGGAAGCAGAGTTTCCCACTCTGGCCTGATGGTAGAGTCCCTGGGTTGTGGCTGGTATGTGCCTGGATTCCCTGCCTCTCTCTTCTGCAAAGTCAGATTCAGATAGTCTGCGAGGGCCTGGGAATCTGCCTTTGCAAGCATTCCAGGAGATTCTAGTTTGCAGCAGAGCTGAGAACCTCTACTGTGGGTGTGTAACGGGTGATTCTCGGGGTCTTGAAGCCCCTTCCCCTCCCAGCTGCCTCCACGTGAACCCAGCCTCTCGGAGCCTGGGCCTGCTCTGTGATCTTCCTGTGCCCAAGGCCAGTTAGTCGCCTTTTCAGTGAGTTCAAGAAATGCCCGGGGGTTTGTTGTTAAAATGCAAATTCCTAGCTTCATTCCTGGAGAATCAAATTAAGAGCTCAGAAGGGAGAGCTCAGAAGTCTGCATTTTAAAAATCTAAGGCCTTCTAATGCCAGTGATCTCTAGACTGCCATTTGAATACTTTAGCCTTGACACAAGATAGAAACTCTGAGTCCCTTCTGCCTTCCTAAAGCCCACCCCCTCAGGGACCCGCACCTCTCCCAGGTAGCTGATATAAGAATGACCCGGCCTTTCAGGGGCGATCACATTTCCCCACAGGCACTTCACTGACCTGGCTAGGCTTACGTTGTTGAGGGACAATCATACCTAATTATAACACAGTCACCTGCATTCCTGGGAGAGGTAGTCTCGCACAGGACAGAGCATGAATTTCATTCCTGCCCTTCAGTGTGGATGCCGGACCCCTTGATTCAGTCAGTGGAGGGGAATGAAAGTGAACTCGCTCAGTTGTGTCTGACTCTTTGTGACCCCAGAAGCCTACCAGGCTTCTGCATCCATGGGATTTTCCAGGCAAGAGCCATGGGATTTTCCGGGCAAGAGTACTGGAGTGGGTTGCCATTTCCTTCTCCAGGGGATCTTCCCCACCCAGGGATCGAGCCCCGATCCCCCGCATTGCAGGCAGACGCCTTTACTGTCTGAATCACCAGGGAAGTCAGTGAAGGGGACTCAACGCCATCTAACTGTATCTGGCAACCTTTGGCAATATGGCGAAGGACATCTAGATTCAAAAGGGATTTGAAATTTCTAATTCCTTTAGGGTTGGAGTGTAGAAAGAATTGGAAAGAACTTCCAGAGTGAGCTTCCAGAGCCTTCCAGAGTGAACCCCTACTCCCCTCCACACCCTCCCAGCCTTAGCCCTGATTCCGTCTTCTGTCTGGCTGGGAGGCGGGGATGGTTATTGGTAGATCACACTAGTCTAGCTGAGCCAGTGGGTCTCATACTGAGCTTTATCAGAATTACCTGGAGGGCTTGTTCACACAGACTGCCCAAAGCCCCACTCCCAGTTTCTACAGCAGGAGGTCTGGGTGGGGTCACGATTTGCATCTCTAACGAGCTCCCAGGGGTTGTTGATCTGGAAGAGATTTTCCTAAACCTTTGAGCCTCACAAAGCTGCTCAACCTCCTGGATCTCCTTCTTTCTCCCTCTGCACTCCTTCTTTCTCTCCTTTTTTGGGATCACGAAAGTGCTCGTCTTTAGTTTTTTGCTCCCAGTCCTCTTGGATAATTTCTCAGTTTCCTGTGAATTCTGCCCTCCTGGTTCATCCCAGGTGGGCCTGGCATGCGCCCTGCCCCCTGGCCCTGTTAAACTGAGGGGCAGGAAGGGGGCTGGTTTCATTCTTCTTGCACACCGTTTCAGGAATGTGTCTCCTTGTGGGTTCTCTTGACCTGGGAATGGAATTTCCAAGTGGCTGGGTGTGTGGTAAGAAGGTAAGGTGTAGGTATGCTTGTTATCTGAGAAGTTGCTGACGGCCTGAGTGTGGCAGCTGTAGTGATCCTTGATGACACGTCTGGGGCACCGACTGTGGCCCTGTGCCCCTCAGGAGGTGGCACTGGGCTCAGCCTTTTTGCATCCCTGAGGTGACCTGCTCGGAGACTCTGGGCATGAAATTACCAGTGAGCTGAGCTGGGGAAATCTTTGAGGATCAGTTCAGTAAGGATATAAGATCGAGTGTTTAAGCTAGAGGACCCAGCACCCTACAGTCTGGGTTCCAACGCAGCCCTGCCTCTTATCACCCATATGATGGTGTGGAGGGCAAACCAAACTCCCCCATTTTGCAGGAGAATTTGACCTTTTCTTAACTTTGTCTCTCATTCCTCTGGGAACCTGATAAAGAATGGAAGTCAACTGCAGTTAGGCGACTTTACTTGCGATGAAAAGAACTGCAAGTGGGCTGGGTGATCTACTCACCCTTGTTGGGAAGCCATTCTTTGTGTTTCTCTGACCTGTCCTTTATGGAGATCCTGGCAACCATGCCTCTGCATGAGTTACAAACAATAGTGGCTCCTGGGCGGGGTTAAGGCAGGGTGGGGGCCGTGCCCACGTTTCCCTGCACTGAGCCATCAGCTTGGGGACAAAAGAGAATGGCTTCTGAGTGGCTCTGTGGCCTGGGGTCCTGTGGACTGGCTCCAGTGAAGGGGGCGCCTGAGGCTGCCGTGCCTGGGCACCGTGTCCTGTCTTATGTCCTTTTAAGTGGCCCTAATGCCAGGTGTGCCAGTGGTAGTCCTGTGAGCCTCAAAATTAGCTGAAATTAAAAAGATCCCTGGTGGGTCTTCCAGAATGACCTCTGTATTTGTTTTTTAAATGTGTGTGCATTTTTCTTATCTATAAAATGGGAATGAGGATATATTAGCTACTTTCTGGGATTGTTATGAGGACTGTAAGGTGTTTAGAAAAGTATCTAGTACATAAGAATATGCTGTTGCCATGACTACCACAATCATCACCATCAACCATCACCATCAATTCCTGAGGCTGCCCTGCCTGGGCACCGTGTCCTGTCTTACATCCATTTTAGTGGACCTAATGCCACGTGTGCCAGTGGTAGTTGTGTGGGCCTCATCACCATCACCACCACTACCATTTCACCATCACCATGTCCATCACCATCACCACTACCACACTACCACCATCACCACTGTGGTCATCATGATCACCACCACTATCTTCACCACGATCACCACCGCTACCATCATCACCACCGTCACTGCCACTACCATCATACCACCACTATCACCACCACCATCGTCACCATCATTGTAATTATGAAAGGAAGGGAGGAGGTCCTTCTCCTTTGGATTCATTTTAGTCTCATATTAGTTACGAAGTCATTGTATGGCTTTGAACAAAATGACTTCGTCCTGTAAGGAAATTGATTCTTACAGAATGTTCTAAGTATTCCATTTATGTGTTGGATAAATTAATGAATTAGGAGAGTCATCTAAATGTCCTTTAGGGTCCTTTCTGGTTTCAAATGTAAGACTCTGTATGGTGTTGAGTCTGAGAAGAAAAGTTGGAGAGAGGTGAAAACAGGCGAGAATGGGAGTGTTGTCAAGGGTCAGAGGTCTGGAGCATTCTGGAGAGGGCATAGGTCATCAGGAGGAGGTGGAAAGGTGTCCAGTAGTTCAGTGAGTTCAGGCCAGTGCTTAGGAGGGATGTAGATGGATCTGACCTAGGAGGAATGTGTACTTCCTGGAGCCTGTGTTTTTAGCACAGGATAAAGGGATGAGAGGGCAATGGTGTGTGGCTAAAGAGAGGTTAAAATGGTTACCTTGGGTTGTTCTGGAGTATTTCTTCTTCTCTGAGGTCACCACCTTCAGTGACAACAAGGATGAGAACTTCCTTCCTCTCTCACCGCTGAGGGGAGAGCCAGCAATGACCCCACCAGCACAGTGACCCTAATGCTGTGTTTCCCCCTCCTTCCTTCAGGTCTGAATGCTGGTGCTTTTTATGCCTTGTCCACTCTGCTGACTCGCATGGTGATCTTCCACTATCCGGTAAGGGCATTCCCTAAGCTGACCAGTGCCAGAGGGAAGGAGATGTCTAGTGTCTAGGCAGGAGCTGGGGGGGCAGTGTGGCATGATGTGTGCTCCAGGATTTGGAGGGAGGCGGCCCTGGGTCTCAGCCCCAGGTCTAGTGGTTCTCAGCAGTGTGAGAGCTGGTTAGCGCCTCTGAGCTCTCATGCTCTTTTCTGCAAAAGAAGTCTAGTTATTTATTGAAAGATTAATTTAATTTTATATTTTTAAAAGACTAATTTTACAATTAGAAAGTAAGTCATAAGATTTACATGTGTAAAATACATAGCACGGTGCCTGGCAACATGGTAGGTAAACATATATACACATAGAATCACCTATGAAATCAGTTAAGTTGTGAAATGTGCGCAAGATTTAATGTTAAAGTCTTAGTTGTTCAACGGAAAGCAGGTTGCAAATGTCTCCAGAACCAGGGAGGGTTAAATACTGGGAAATGGACACGGAGTATCCTGCAGTCGGGATGTCAGGCCCAACCCTCTTTCGGAAAGTCGGGGGTCTCAGCTTGGGAACGGTGGGCCACCGTGGGTGAGTGAGTGTTCCAGTGTTGGAGGTTGACAGGTCTGAGTCCAAATCCTGCCTCTGCACTTAATAAAGGCCTCATGACCTTCGGCTAGTAGGCTAATTTCAGTGTGCCTTGATGTCTTCATCTGTAAAATGGGGAATATTGATTCTTAACCTCCTGGTGGGCAATCAGCAGAATTAAATAAGATGATGATATAAAATCCTCAGCATGGTGTCTGGCTCATAATAAACACGGGGACATATGTAATATCTTCCTACCTCTAAAACAGTGATAACTGGAAAAAAAAGCCTAAGTATGGAATGTTCGGATATACACATTTCAGTTTTTCCATCTGCTAAATGGGAATAATGATAAAGGGTTCCTAAGAGTGTTATATTTTTGAAAAATCTACCTAAAAACGGTTTCTAAAGATAGAATTTGTTTTCCCCCAACATCCAGTATCATGTACCCACACCCAGGGTTATATTATATTATATTAGGAGGAGCAGTTATTCTAGGATTTCCTCCCCTAGAATTACTGGCAGCTTTTTACAGCTTGTCTTGTTCCGCTACTTTCTGAGAATTGGCTGTCATGGCACCCCAGTTACTTGCCTTTACCCCTTTGCCTCCTGGTGACCGTGCCCTGTCAGATGTCTTGTTCCATCCTTGAGTGATCCTTGGGGCTATGGTTTCCCCAGGGGGAAGAAGTGAATGCTGGAAGAATCGGCCTGACCATCGTCCTTGCAGGAATGCTTGGGGCTGTGATCTCAGGCATCTGGCTGGATAGGACCAAAACCTACAAGTAAGTGTCTCTTCCGCTTGGACTGAATTAGAGACCATGTTTTGAAATGACATGTTCTTAAGAACATGGCTCCAAGGATGTGATTGTAGCATCTGGGGTGTGAGTGGTCAAGGAGGCAGTTCAGATGTATCTTCTCTGGGGATGAGGAGGTGGTTCCATTGCCAAATTCCCATGTCTTGCTCGTGGACCTCCTGGGGTTTACCAGGGTGCTCTGTGCTTCCAACAGTTTTCAGTGTGTTACTTTGTAATTGCTTCCACGTTGGTAAATATTGCTTCCATTGGTAAATATTGTGATATGGTTTAGTCCTGATTGCCCAGTGCATTTCTAAGAGCCACTAAGATTTTAGTGGGAAAAAAAAAAAAAAAAAGATTTTAGTGGATTGCAGGCTAAACCAGGACACTTTCTAAAAATACAGATACCTGGGTTCCACCCCTCATGGATGTCAATTCAGTAGGGGAGTCTGCATTTAGAAATCAACCCGGATGCCTTGATTCAGTAGCCAGCCTTGGAGAAAGTGCTCTGAAAACAGAGGCTCAGCTTGAGTGTGTCCTGTGCTCCGCATCCACTGGGTGCTCAGTTAATGCGGCTCAGTGGGGCAGCTGCCTGGGCTGTCCTGCGCTGGGCAGGGCAGTATTCTGGGCTGCTTTGTCAAGGCCTCCAAAGTTCCCAGTGTCTGGAGGCGACAGACAGCGGCAGACCTGTTCTTTGCACACAAACCCGCTTCTGTGAGGCTCTGGTCAGACCAGGGCTCCCTCTGGCTGCCCTCATCAAAGGCCAATTGAGGCCCTCCCTGGAGATGTGGCTGCCTGGCTGGACACAAGGAGGAGCCCGGCTGGACCTAATTACTGCTGGTGGAGCTGGGCTGCAGCCTCGTTGCTGCCATATGCCAGTTGCTTGCTTCAAGCAGTGAGGACTGGCCTCCCTTGAACCGGGGAATAGCAGCATCTCTCTTCCAGGCTTGCTCTGTGGCAACAGAAAGGAGGGATTGGAATGTTTGCTGGGCCAGGATGTGGGCAGCCAGATGATTCAGATGAACCAGAAAAGAGAGTGAAAAGACAGTGAAAGGGCTGGGAGGACACTGCAGAATCTAACTGACACTGGTTCCTAGTGTCATTTGATGTCTGCATCCTGCAGTCAGCATGGACATTCTTTCTGCTCCACTACTTGGGCGGAGAAAGGGTGGGGGAGCTCTGTCATCTGGGCATTTTGGTGCCTGTTCCTTCTCCCCGAGGCTCCCAGGTGTGTCTCCTTTGGTTTGGAGATGGAAATTGGGTGGTCAGTTCCATTTATGTCTGGCTGAGGCTACAAATAGTTTTGCAGAGAGGCTAGTGGTTTAAGAAGAAGCTGTGTGTAAAGAAATATGGCAAAAGGTGAGCTTGTGGGGTCAGCAAGGGAGATGGGTGTCCGTGGGGCTGGGTTCTGCAGCGGGAGGGCCTGTATGCGGGGAGCAGGGGGAGAAGAGATGAAGGCCCTCTGACCTCAGCAGCTGCTTTGAAGACCCAGGAGGGAGGGGTGTCCTGCAGAGGCTGTTGCTCTTTTCCGAAGATGTAGCCCCATCGTGTGTTAGTATTCCTGTGTGTGGGAGTGGATAGAGCATGGGTTTCCAATCCTACTCTGCATTTACCTAGTAGGTGACTTTGGACAAGTAACTTGACTGATCTGAGCTCAGTTTCCACATTTGTCATATTGGAGATAGTCATATGTTTCTTTTTTCCTACCAGTTTTATTGAGATATAATGGACTTAAACTGTATCTATAAATAGCATATGGTTTAATTTACATACATCATGAAATCAACATCACAAATAGTTTAGTGGACATCCATCATCATGTATGGATACAAAATTAAAGAAATAGAAAAAATATCATGATGAGGACCTTTAGGACTTCTTTTCTTAACAACTTGCATATATAACATATACCATGTTGATTATGTTTATCCTGTTGTACATTACACACTTGTGTGTGTGTGCTGATCGCTCAGTTGTGTCTGACTCTTTGCGACCCCATGGTCTGTCCATGGAATTCCCCAGGCAAGAATACTGGATTGGGTTGCCATTCCCTCCTCCAGGTGATCTTCCTGACCCAGGGATGGAATCCAGGTCTCCTACATTGCTGGCAGATTCTTTACCATATGAGCTACCAGGGAAGCCCACATTACATACTTAGTCCTTACTTATTTTGCACCTGGAAATTTTTAACCTTTTGATTGCCTTCTTCCTATTTCCCCTTCTCCTACCCCATCCTTACCTTTGGTAACCAAAAATCTGATCTCTTTTTCTGTGAGTTTGCATGCTTGTTTGGTTTTTGAAGTATTATTGACCTACTACACTATGTTAGTTCCTTGACACTACATAATGATTCAATATTTCTAGAAATTTCAAAATGACCCCTAAATTAAGTCTGGTTGTGGTCTGTTACCATACCAGGATATTATTACTCATTGGCTGTATTCCCCACCCTGTACATTTCATCCCTTTGATTCATCTATTTTCCATCTGGAAGTTTGTACCTCTTAATCTCTTTCACCTGTTTCTTTCCTTCCCCCCTACCGCATCCTCTCCCTTCTGGCAGCCATCTGTATGTTCTCTGTATCTATGAGTCTGTTTCTGACTTAATGTCTGTTCATTTATTTTGTTTTTTAGATTCTGCATAGCAATGAAATCATATAGTATTTGTATTTCTCTAACTTATTTCACTTAGCATAAAATCATTTGGGTCCATACATGTCACTGCAAATGGCAAGAGTTCATTCCTTTTTATGGCTGAAATACATATGTGTGCATACCACATCTTTTTAATCCACTTATCTGTTGATGGGCACTTAGATTGCCTATCTTGGCTTTTGTACATGATACTACAGTGAACCTTGGGGTACATATATTGTTTTGAATTAGTATATTCATTTTCTTGGGATAAATGCTCAGGAGTGGAATTGCTGGATCATCTGAGTGTTCTGGTTTTTCATATATATACATATAATTTTATTTATTTTTGGCTGTGCTGGATCTTTTTGTTTTGCAGGCTTTTCTCTAGTTGTGGTGCATGGACTTCTCACTGCAGTGGTTTCTCTTGTGGTGGAGCACAGTCTCTAGAGTGCCTGGGCTTCAGTAGTTGCACTTCTAGAGTTCAGGCTCAATAGATGTGGTGCACAGGCTTACTTTCTCTGCCCCATGTGGGATCTTCCCAGACCAGGGATCAAACCCATGTCTCCTGCATTAGCACGTAGATTCTTTACCACTGAGCCACCAGGGAAGCCCCCTGGGTGTTCTGTTTTGAAACTTTTTTTTAGAACTCACCATATTGTTTTCTATAGTGGCCGCACCAATTTACAGTACCCTCCAGCAGTTCACGAGGGTTCCCTTTTTCACTGCTTCTTGGCCATCTGTATGTCTTCTTTGGAAGAATCTCTGTTCAGATCCTCTGCCCACTTTTCAATTGGTTTTTTTTTTCTTTTGATGTTGAGTTGTATTAAATCTTTGTATATCTTGGATATTAACTCCTTATAGATATATCTTCTTCCATTCAATAGATGGCCTTTTAATTTTGTTGGTAGTTTCCTTTACTGTGCTAAAGCTTTCCAGTTTGATGTAGTCCTATTTGTTTTTGCTTTTGGTTCCCTTGCCTGAGGAGACATTCCCCCTACCCCCACCCCAGAAATTACTAACACTGATATTAGTGTCCTGCCTATAAATTTATTCTAGAATTTTTGTGGTTTTAGTCTTTAAGTCTTTAATTCATTTTGAGTTTGTTTTTCTGCATAGCGTGAGAGAGCAGTTGAGTTTGATTCTTTTGTGTATAGCTGTCCAATTTTCCCAACACTGTTTATTGAAGAGTCTGTCTTCTCCCCATTGTATATTCTTGCCTCTTTCATCATTTTGGGGTTGCTCTTCAGATCCATTCATTTGTGTCTGTTTTCTGCCAGTACCATACTGGTTTGATTACAATAGCTTTGGAGTATAGTTTGAAATCTGGAAGAACTGATACCTCTAGTTTTATACTTTCTCAAGATTGCTTTGCTGTATGTGGTCTTTTGTATTTCCATACACATTTTAGAATTATTTGTTCTAATTCTGCAAAGTTTCCATTAGTGTTCTGACAAGAATTGCTTTGATTATGCTGACTGCCTTGCATTACACTGTTTAAAGATTTTTCTTAAGTCCTGAGATAGGCTTGTGTCACTAAAACTTGCCTCTTGGAACTGCTTTTCCTGTACCCTGTATAATCCGTAGTGTATTTTTTATTAATTTGTTTCCAAGTGTTCTTTTTTTTTTTTAAATTTCTACTTTGAATTCTTCAGTGACTTAGTGGTTGCTTGGTGAATAATTATTTAGCCTCCATGTGTTTGTGGTTTTGTAGTTTTTTTCTCATTGTTGATTTTTTTTAAACTTTAAAAAAAATTTTTGCATTAAAAAAATTTGCTTATTCTTTAATTGAAGGATAATTGCTTTACAGAATTTTATTGTTTTCTGTCAAACATTAACATGAATCCACCATACTCGTAGTTGATTTCTAATCTCATTTTTGTGATTAGAAAAGATGCTTGATATGATTTCAGTTTTCTTAAATCAGTCATTCTTTTCCTGCAGGGCTTTTGTAAGGGTTAAATGAAATACTAAATATATGTAAAGTGCTTAAGAGAACCTCTGGCATCCAATCACTTCAGTATCAGTTTGACATAAGCACAGTATACACCTGCCGGCCCCACTGTGTTTCTGGCTTCAGCAGAGATGAGGGAAGGCTCTGAGCTTTCATGGTCTGAGTCCTGATGCTCGTGGCCAGAGTGCCCAAGGAGGTGCCGAGCCCCTGACCTCAGTCAGGAGGACAGGGAGAGGGTGGCGGTCCCAGTGCAGGAGTCAGGGCCACAGCAGTCCTGGGTGGGCCACCTGGGGGGAGAGGTGCGTGCAGGGGCACGAGCAGGGTGAGCCCGAGAGAGAAACCAGCCCTGCTGGGCCTTCTGAGGGACCAGCAGAGGGACACGTGCCAGGAGTGGGCGCAGCTTTCTCCCTCGGGCCTTGGAGTCAAGGGCTCGTTCAGGGCTGGAGAATGTTCTCTCCGCTGCACTGTCAGGAGTGGAGCAGTTCAGATTCAGCGGGGAGAGCTGGGCTGCACGTGTGGCAACAGAAAGGACCCGGAGACGACAGAGACTCTCACAGTCAGGTCCCTGCCCGGCATTGTCCGGGGGGCGGGGGGCGATGCAGACAAGCAGAACGGGCTTCTGGGGTTGTCTGAATGCCACTGCCACCTGACCACAGCTGATGTGTGCCCCTGTTTTTTTGTTTTTGTTTTTTCTGGTGGAAGGAGAAAAGGAAAGGGCTGTGTCCCTGCTTGTGGGTGGGATGTACCCAGTCCAGGTGCAGTGTTGACTTGCTGAGAGGTTTCTACAGGAGAACACACGTGCTGCAAGATGACTTCATACAGTCCTGGTCTCACTGTTTGTAGCTCTGAGCACAGTGTGATCATTGGTCTGGTGTCCATCAACCTCACGGATGGAAAATTCTTTGAGAGTAAATAGCACACAGACCTGGGCTTGCTTAGCACTCGGCAGTTGCCAATAGATAGGAAGTGGGGTGGAGGTAAAGAGGAAGGAAGGTAGGGAAAATATCCTGTTAAAGTCTGCAGTTTATGACTCAACTTCATTGCCTCTGCTTGTAGGCAGACAACTTTGGTGGTCTATGTCATGACTCTGGTAGGCATGGTGGTCTACACATATACCTTGAACCTGGGACACCTGTGGGTAGTGTTCATCACGGCTGGCGCAATGGGGTAAGTTGTACTTCGAACCTACTTAACTGGAAAGCACCATCCATGATTCCAAGACCTACTGACATCCTAGGATGAGATAGGGATCTGCCGCCTCTCATTGACTTCTGCAAACGTGGAAATGGCCAGAGGTCATGTTCACTCAAAGGTTTCAAAATGCTGCCTGGGGCACCCAGGCCCATCCATGCTGTTGGGATGGACTATGTCCTTCATGAATCTCTGGGAAGCTAGGAAATGTTTAGCATCTTTATGAGCTCTGCCTGGGACAACATGCGGTCACAGAAAGTACACAGGCCTGGGGATCAGAAAGGGTGGGTCCTGAGCTCAATGTTGCTGACTGTTTATTAGATCATAGGCACCTCCCTACCCACTGTGAGGCTCAGTGTCTTTATCTGTAATTGCAGATGAATGGCCTCCCTTGTGCAGTTGTTAGAAAGAAGGAGAGAAATAACAGGTGTGAAAGCACCAGAAAGTGTGGTGCAGTTGAAAGAGATCAGAGCTGGAATTTTCTAGACCTGTTGTATGAGAAAGTATAGGAAATGGCGCCCCTTCGACAGGGATCTCTGCTCAGCTTCACCTCTTGCTTATTTTCCTATGGACAGTACATGCAAGGGTGTGTGAGCATATGTGTGTAATGACCACCTAGAGGGTGGCCTGATTTTCAAGGGCCTGGCATGTCTTGATGGGAAGAAACAGAAAAAGGAGTTGTAGGGCAGGAGATGGGCACCCTTTTTTCCTTTTTCCGGACGTTCTCCATCACCTTGTTTCTGTGATCTGGGCTTTAGCTTCTTTATGACTGGCTACCTTCCACTGGGATTTGAATTTGCCGTGGAGCTGACATACCCAGAATCAGAAGGCATGTCATCTGGCCTCCTCAACGTGTCTGCCCAGGTAGGCTTCTCGTTGGGTGGTGGCCTTGAAGCCGTGGGTCCTTGTTCCCTCCCGGGCTCGGCGGGAGCAGGCGCTGCATACGGGCAGCTCAGCTCCCCTGTGGGCTGGTTGCCTGGGCCCCTGTTTCCAGTCTTCTCCGTGACTCTGCAGGTATTCGGGATCATCTTCACCATCTCCCAGGGCCAGATTATTGACAACTATGGAACCATGCCTGGGAACATCTTCCTGTGTGTCTTTCTGACCCTTGGAGCAGTGCTCACTGGTGAGCTGGGGCCTCAGGACAAAGTGATGCTCTGACTGTGCCTGAGTTTAGACTGTTGGCAGTTTGAAAGCCAATGTCTTAACTGATCATGCAGCTAAGGGGCTCACGTGCAGCAGGGCAGACGAGAGGGCTCATGAGGAAGTATCTTTGGCAGGCAGTAGCATATTTTGTTGGAATGAGCTTCAGCTTTGGTCTCAAAAGACCCTTGTTGGAATCCTGCACTGTGACACTGACCTCCATAGCTCTTTGACCTTGGGCAAGTGGACCAACCTCTGGGAGCCCCACTTTCCTAATCTGTAGAATGGAGATTGCTGTGAGGATTGGAGCACTGTGTGCAAACTCCCTGCAAATATCAGGGGTCTATGCATGGAGGCCAGCGTCATCACTAGCTTCTTCCTGTCTGGCACAGCAGTGGCCCCCCAGGCTCTGTCAAGGTGGCTGATGGAACCTCCAGATCCCTGGAAAATCTGAAGGAGGTGGGATACTCGTGACCCTTAGGAGAGTTAAGGGCTCCCTCTTGTGGATGAACTTGACCATTGCTCTGCTTGATAACTTTCTGTTGCCCTTCTTCTGTGTCCTTGAACCTCAGCATTCATCAAGGCAGATCTCCGGAGGCAGGATGCAAACAAAGAAATTCCTGAAAATGTGAGTATGTGGGAGCTGCCAGGGGAGATGTGGGCGCAGACGTTGCTGAGGCTGTGGCCTTGGGGGGAAGCGGGGGAAGCGCCCGGGGACTGGTGGCTGTGAGAGCAGCTCAGCGTCGCACACGTGGAGACAAAGGGCTTCTCCTTGGGGCTCAGCCCCGCTTTTCTGCTGCCCTCTCCGGGTTTTTCTCCCACTTTCTTCCCTGCTCCTGGCCTCCCTGCTCTGGTCCCCAGAGCTGGTCCCTGTGTCAGTCTGCCGGGCAACACCCGCCCCGGGGTCCCGAGACAAGTCCCAAGGCCCCGGCTCCTCTGCTTTCAGCCTGGGGTTCTTGAATGGAGAGGAAATGTGGGGGGCTGGCTCCTTCATCCTGTCATAGCGGTGGTGGCCCCGAGGGAGTGGCTCTCCTGCATTGTGGCAGGCCCTCAGGAGGTGCCCGGGAGGGACCAGAGCCAATGGGCTGTCAGCAGGGCTCTAAAAGTACACGTCAGGAAGCAGGAGTGGATCATGGTGGAAGGGGAGAGGACCTGGAATTATTAGATAGAGAACAGAAAAGTATTTCCCATCTTTTCTAATCGGCCGGGAACTATTTTAACCATCGTGCTGTGCTGGGCTTAGTCGTGTCCGACTCTTTGTGACCCCATGGACTATAGCCCGCCAAGCTCCTCCGTCCACGGGGATTCTCCAGGCAAGGATACTGGAGTGGGTTGCCATGCTCTTCTCCAGGGGCGAAGGGATCGAACCCAGGTCTCCCGCATCGTGGGAGGATTCTTTACCATCTGAGCCACCAGGGAAGCCCAAGAATACTGGAGTGGGTAGCCCATCCTTTCTCCAGGGGATCTTCCCGACCCAGGAATCGAACCAGGGTCTCCTGCATTGCAGGTGAAGCTACCAGGGAATCCTTTAACAAATGTGTTAGATATCAAATCTGAATCAGGATGAAAGGAATTTCAGCTCTCAGGAGGCAGTGGGATATTGCTTAAAAGAACAAAACACCCAAAACCTGTTACAGAGGTAATACACATTCTTTGCAGAAAAAAATTTTAAATATAGCAAAGTGTACACATTTTTTAATTTTTTGTTTTAAAGTGTACAAAATTTAAAAGTCATCCTGTAATAGCATCACCTAGAGATGAGGTCCCGTCTTTTTGCATTTGCTCACACGTGTCTGTGTACACATGTAATATATATGTGTGGGTATATGTATGTATTTTTTAAACAAAAATAGAGTCTTGTGCTTTTGTTGTTCTGTAAGCTTTCTTGTTCTACGTGCTTTTGCACTTTCTGCAAGCGCTTTGTCAGGTCACTAGTCTTTTACAACATACTTGACGTCACAGTGTTCTAATAAATGCACATGGATAGACGTGATTTGATTGACAATTTTTCTGTCCAGGAACACTAAGATTGTTTCTGATTGTTGTTAGAGATGATATTGTGTTTACTGTTCTGGAGCTAACTCTTTGGGCATGTTCTTAAGCACTGTATTTTCCTGAGAAACAGATCAGTGGTTGTGCTGTGGTTAAGACTTTGATATGTGTTACCAGACTGTCCTGTAGAAAGAAGGTGCTATCAATACTACTAATGTACCTTGCTCTAGCAGTGTATGAGGCCAACCCTGAGTATTTATCATTTTGAAAATCTTTGCCAATTATCTAAGGCAAAAATGGTATCTGAAAGAGGTACGTTTAGTGCTTTAAGGATATGCGCTGAGAGACGGATGCTAATCTCTGTTCCCTTCTTGTTTGTCCTCTGATCTCACACTCTGGAGTTGGCAGGTGGCAGCAGGTAGCAGGTGAAGGGGGCGATGCCTGGGACAGGGCATTCAGTGGGGCCACAGGAAACGCCTGAGACGGAAGCGGTCTTCTCAGGAGCCTGTGAGAAGCGTGGCATCAGCCCTGCGGAGATGGGCTTGTCCCTGTGCCATAGACGAGGAAGCGTGATTTGGGACACTTTGGTGACTATTAGTGTGAGCCTATGAAAAGGTGCCTATGATAACAGGATGGATTTCTCGTGAAAAGATTTCAATTTGAAATGTGATGCATTGTGTCAAGCGATATGAGATTCTGCTGTGTTTACTTTGTAATCCGTGTTTCCCTGGGCAAAAGCAAACAGAAGAAAGTAAAGGTTGCTTGTAGTCCAGTGCCCAGAGATAACCTAGTAACATGTTAGTCATTTTCCAGTGTTTTCTGTGGATGTAGAAATGTGCTTGTGCACGCTGGGCTTTCTGCCCTGCTTGTTTCCTTAGGAGAGTCTGACCAGCTTTCTACACCACTGCCCCCCCAGCCCCACATCTCCATGTACACATTTTCATTTCCTCCGGGTACTGCCTAGGTCGGCCCACACTTCCCTGTCTTACAGGCAGATCCTTGTCCCCGGGGACCAGGTTTGTTACCCAGTAGGCGGTGAGCGCTCAGTCTCTCCCTGAGGACTGTGGGAAGCAGCACGGGTCAGACCAGGAGGCCAGCGGGTGCAGGCGCTCATGGTGCTGTCCTGGATACTCCCCGTGTGTCCCCATCTCCTTCGCTCCTGGGGGGCCTGGTGGGACGGGGGTCAGAGTCACACGGGGCTGGTCCCAGGGAAGTCAGGGCTGTCAGGGGCGTCGTGAAGGAGCCGTCATTTCCCCCACCGAGGTGGCGGGCATGAGTGGGACCTGTAGGCCATCCCAGGACTTCAGTCTCAGCACCAGGGGACAACAGGGCAGGGAGTGCATCAGGCCAGAGCTGCGCATTCTGATCAGTGAGGTGGGTCATTGGCTGAAAGGGCCAGAACTTCCAGTGGGTCAGGACTGATGCTGATTATGACAATCTATGTTTGGGTTTCCATTTTTCTTCCAGTTGGTAGTTCTCGGCTACAGAGACATAAGCCTTGTTTGGTTGTGATTTCAAGGTGATGGCACTGAAGGAGGCGGGTGTGTGTGCATGAGTGTGTCAGAGACAGGAGGTGGCGTGACTGGTTGAAGTCGGCTGCTGGCTCCTGAGTGAGGGCTTCTCAGGGCTGAGGCTGAGCTGGTGCCAACAAGTTAGCAAGATGGAGAACCGGAAGCTGGATCTCCCATTGTTGCCTCTGCCACGGGCTGCCCTGGGGGTCGTGGCGGGTGAAATGCCATTTGTCCAGCTGATGTGACCTGCATGTGCTCCGCCAGCCTCGAAGGTCAGAGCTGTGTGGGGCTCGGCCTGTGCCGGAGGCCTCGTTGGGAACAAGGCCCTGAGGGGAGAAACAAAGTGCTCCTGAAAAGCAGACAAACGCCCAAGGTGGCAGTCAGCACCTAGGAACCTCAGAGCATAATCTCCAGGGCACGTTTAAATCCCACCCAGCTAACAAGCGTGACCCTGAATGCCTTCTAATTCTGTGGCAACAGCCCCAAGAAATCTGATGACAAACTGACCCAGAGTCTCTTTTTCTATGGGGAAGCTACATTNAGGCAGGACCCCAACCTGTGTGGTGGAAAGTGCACCTCCCCCACGGAGACGGGGCACGCTCTGGAGTGGCTTCCAGGAGGCAGAGGCTCTGTCCTCCAAGACACAGATGTTCCTCCCAGTTCCCCCAGAAGCTGCTCGGGGAAGGCCGTGGGGCTGGCAGGCAGAGCTGGGCTGGCTGAAGAGGTGGGGGTGGTCTGAGTCCCCCAAGTCACTCCTCCACCTTCTCCCAGATCTGCTTCCTGGAAGCCACTCCAGAGCTTGCCCCGTCTCCATGGGGGAGATGCACTTTCCACCACACAGGTGGGGGCCCTGCCTTCCCCCTGCAAGTTCTGGGAGCTGGGGAGGCAGAGAGAATCCTAGAGTCGGTCCTGGCTGCTGCCTCACCTTCCTGTTCCAGCCCATCCCTCAGGACAATGCCTGCACATTATCCCAAAAGAAAGCTTATTCTGATTAATTTTTTTAGTGTCTGAAGACCCTTAGGAGTCCAGTTCTCAGGAGCAGCAGCTGCTCTGGACAAGGATCATTCTTGGGCCCCAGACTGACCACTGACATTCTTTGGGAGAGAAAACATCCTCAGAACACACCCCCCAGGACGCCGGGACCAGGTTCTTCCGGCTCGTGTTGGCGTCTGTCTGCAAACCCTCTCTCCTCAGAGCTGATCACACCAAACACCAATAAACTTGACAAAAACATTAATGTGGCCGAGAAGAAGAAGCCAATTCCGGGAGTTGACCTCCTTGGGATGTGATGGTGCTAATGAATCTGGGGAGTCTGGTAGCCTGATTTGGGAACAGAAAGGTTCTTTCCTGCAGGAGGTGTCCTGGCCCAGGGCCTTGTGCGCTCACTGTCACCTCTGCTGCCTTCCTCCAGACGCCACTCGGGGGCTCGTGTCCTCCTACCTGTGACCCTCACTGCAGACTCACCTGGGTCCTTCCCCCCTGAGAACTCCAAAAATCTCCCGAGAGATGAGGGGAAGGGGCAGAAGGAGAGGTGGCCCGTGAATGGGACTCGGGTCTGCTGGGTTAGGTAAGCGCGTCCACCTCTGGGGGGGACAGTGTTTGCAGCCCCAGCCCCTCTCCCCACCCCTTCTATAATAGCAATAATTCTTTCTCAGATATTCTGAATTTAAAGGGACTCCTTTTCAACCAGGAGCTTCTCAGGTGTTGCCAGTGGTAAAGAATCTGCCACTGGAGACGCAAGAGACACGGGTCCGATCCCTGGGGTGGGACGATCTCCTGGAGCAGGAAATGTCAACTCACTCCAGTATTCTTGCCTGGGGAATCCAATGGAGCCTGGCGGGCTACAGTCCATGGGGTCCCAGAGGCAGACACTTCTGAGCGCGCACAGACGCACATGTCCTTCCAACCCGCGCACAGACGCACATGTCCTTCCAACCAGCCCAAGCTGCCCCGTCCTGCCTTGCCTGCTGTCTGGCTCTACTCACGGGCTTGGGGAAAATCTCCTCAAAATAAGCCATTTTGGTTGTTTCTCATGTCCTTGAGCTCTGTGATCACAACCCCTGTGCTGTTTTGTTGTGGCCACTGCCCGGGGCTCAGAATATTGGAGCTGCCTGCGTGGAAGTGGTGCTGGGTGCTTGGGCCACTGCCCAAGGGCAGCTGGTGTGTGTGTGTGTGTGTGTGTGCGTGTGTGTGTGCGCGTGTGCGCACGTGTGTGTATACAGTACTCTGTAGATAAAAGAAGTTCACACTTCTGGTGCAAGGACTGAGTTAGTGGTAGAAAGGAGGTGGAAATGGAAGGTGCCTTACTTTTTAATAAGGAGAAAGTGTTTACTCTTGAGCCTCTTAATTTTATAAACAAAATGTTTACTGAAACCATCATTTTATTTGAAATCATGATTCGTATTTTCTATTTGTAACACCAGATATATTAAAGCAATAAAATATCCTCCATGTGGTCTGCCTTGTCACTTGTTGGGGCAGAGATGGCTTTGGTGGTGGGAACAGGCTGGAGGGCTGGGGGCTCGGGGTAGAGGAGGCACTCCTCCACACTGTGGAAGGTGGTCCTCTGTAGACATAGATGTTACCATGCTAGTGGGTTATTTTTTAAAGATAAGGCTGCAGACATTACTGTCTGTCCATGTGGAGAGTGCAACTCAAAGCCGAATCTGTGGTTCCAACAACTTTCCATTCAGCGTGATCTTTTTACAGTGCATGTCAACCACATCAGTCCTCCACTTAAAACCCTCTTCTAGCTTCTTACCTCAACCAAAGCTCAGACCTCATCAGAGCCCACAATTCCCCATGCACTATGGCCCCCACCTTCCTATCTGACTGTCTGTCCTCCACTGTTCTGTTCAGTCTCTCTGTTCCAGCTACACGACCTCGCTGCCTTGCCTTGAATGTACCAAGCATGTTCCCACCACAGGGCCATTGCACATGCCAGTGCCGTGTCTGGGGTTCACTGGCGGCAGATGTCCATATGACTTGTTTCCTCACTTCAGCTCAAAGGTACTATATGTGTATGTATGTATGTAACTGAATCACCCTGCTGTGTGCCTGAAACATTGCAAGTCAACTATACATCAATAAAATATATATATTAAGAAAAAAATTCCATGGACAGAGGAACCTGGTGGGTTAATGTCCATAGCATCACAAAGAATTGGGCAAAACTGAGTGATTGAGCTTCATCATCAATCTACAAAGGACCATCCAATGATCTCTCAAAATTGCTTGGTTTGTACTAAAAATAACCCGAAGACTGCTGTCAGATCTCCCGGGATAGGGATCCAACACAGAGGAGCCTGTGCCACCGAGGACTGGCAAATAGACTTGACTTAAGTGCCTTGAGCAGCAGGAAATTTCAGATTCCTGCTAGTATTGGTGGCCCTTTTCAGGACAGGTGGAGACACCAGGACTGAAAAAGCCTCCAAAGTGGTGAAGGAAAATTTCCTCCACGCTTAAGGAAAATTTCCCCCAATTTGGATAGTCTAGCACCCTTCAAAGTGATAACAGGGCTGCTTTTCTCTCTAGCATAATCCAACAAATGTCTAAACCACTGCAGATTAATGGAAAGCTATATTCATCCTGGAGTGCACATTCAATAGGAATAGCAAAGAAGATGAATTCTACATTAAATAACATTGCTAATATATGCTGAGTCTAATTTAACTTGAGGTCAGGGCTTGACAGTTGCCCTACTATGGATCAGAGTGGCTTCCAGAAGCAGGCTTAAAATTTACCTCTTTGAAATATTGTATGGTAGGTCATTCCATGTGTCTGCCCAGGAGGGAGAATGTATAAATACTTTGAAAGATTTAGCAGTTGCCAGTTATATTAAAACTCAAGTACAGTACAAACCTCTGTTTATGAGCTTGCTTCTAGCAAGCAGTCCTTCCCGGCCTGGACATTGCATCCTCTTAAAACATGTGGAGAGCAAGGGCCTGAGCACCAGCTGACTGCAAAGTGGACAGAACCACCTGTGGTGTTACTTATCACACACTCATCTGTCAGATTAGCTTGAGTAAAGCCATGGATACATCACTCAGGTCAAAGTAGCCTCACCATCATCAGAAAATGGCCCAACTCCTGAGAGTCCTAGAGAGCAATGTGTTTGTGAACCCTTAGAAGACTTAAGGTTGCTCTTCAGAAAGGTAAGTATTGAGAATAAAATTTCCTTGCAGAAGGAATTTCATCAGGTTCAAATAGTTCAAGAGAATTGTTTTACTTACTAAAATTATTAAGGAGTATTCCTGACCCAAAGCTGATCAATTCCATTTTATGATCACCCCTTCATTGCCTCTGTTCAGCAGGAAGTAGCCAAAACAATCATCACCCCTTATTCCCACAAGATTGTGGAATGGACATTGATAGATAGGAATTGCAATAGGGGTGGGGCAAGCACTTGGCTGTTAGTGAATGACTGTTAGAGGTTCCGCCCAGCCATTGGTTAGGCCCCCTACTTCCTCCATTTAAAAGGAACTGAATTCAGACTGAAGGAAGTTGGGTTTTGTTTTTTTTAATGAAACAAAGATGGCTATTTTTAATGATAAAAGGTACAATTCACTAAGAAGATGGACATCATAAACAAAAAGCAAAAATCAGAAGAAATATAAGGGAAAAGAAAAAATATATAATCATAAGTGAGACATATAAACATTTCTCTGAGAATATTTTATCAAGTACATAAAAAATAAGAATAGGTGCATCTGGAATGATGTCATTAATAATTTAAATATAGTAGATTTGTTTATATTAATTTATATTAACCTTATATACTACGCAAATATATTTAAAATTTTATATCTCATAAGTTATTAGATGTTCAGAGGACATTGAGAAAAACTGACAAAAGATAAACATTACTAAATTTCAAAAAGTAGAATTCTTTTTTTGGTGATTCAGTTATACAAATAGATATATATTATTTTTGAAATTATTTTCCATCATAGGTTATTACAAGATATTGGCTATCGTTCCCTATGCTATACAGTAAACCTTTGTTGCTTGTTGCATGTCTATCTTTTTTAAATTAGAAATCTAGCATTCTATTCATGCTAAGTCAAACAAGTAGAATCAAACTGTCATAAATTTTTTCAGTCAGACAAAAATTCATAAGGTTTCTAAAATATATATATATTATACATATTATTTATATATATGTATAGAAGAGCTTTTCTACTATACTTGATAAAGAACTACACTTCAAAAAGAAAAAAAATAAGAAGAGATGAAGAAACCAGAAAGCATAAACTAAATGAAATGGGAGCACTGAATATGAAGTAGAAAAAGTGAAACAAACTAAATAAAAGTAAAAGATCATCATAGAGTCCAGTTACTTTTAAACAGGGCTGCTCATTAGAAACATATCTGGAGCTCTGGTGAAAAAAAGCAATACCTGGGCATTTGTATTTTTCAAAAGCTCCAAGATAATTCTGATATGCATCTGGATTTTAAAAATGATTACAGGGTTTTCTATTAAATTATAATATAGAATTTTGTAATTTTCTGAAAACCAATCATAATAAAATGGTGTTAAGTAATAGTTTTATAATTGAAAGTTTGCAGCTGCAAGCCATGTGCTATGCTGGGACTCATGACCTCCAGCAGAGAATTTTGATCCAGGGCCAGAGTCAAGGCTTGATCATTCAGACATTTTGTGTAGCAAAAGTTTTGTTGTAGGTAGGAAGTGGGGGGCCCTCTCCAGGGCCCTGAGAGAGGTCTCTTGTCTAACACTCAGAAAAGAATAGTCTGAGGAGACACGTGCTGACAAAGCAAGAGATTTTATTGGGAAAAGAGCGCCCAGGCGGAGAGCAGCAGGGTCAAGGAACCTAGGAGGAGGACTGCTCTGCTACGTGGCTCTTGGCTGCGGTCTAGGGTTTTATGGTGATGGGATTAGTTTCCGAGTTGTCTTTAGCCAATCATTCTGACTCAGTCCATCCTGGTGGCGCACACACCCGCATCACTCGGCCAATATGGATGCCAGCGAGAGGGATTCTGGGAGGTGAACCGACGCGCGGTGTCTCCTTTTGGTGATGTGGAATTCAGCTCAACTCTATGGACAGGTATCCAGATAGGCATGTGCAGTGAAACTTCTCTAGTTCAGGATTCCAGGCTGTATGGAAATGTTCACAAGAACTTGGAGCTAAAATACAAGGAAAATGAGGGAGGTGAGGCAGACAGTGGGTGAGTGTGCAGTATTACACATGTAAATTACAAATACAAGATGTCCAAGGGCACCATTTTTACAAATTCCAAGTGTCAGTACTTTCTAAGAGGGACTCATCCAGGGTCTCAACCTGATGTGTTAGCCATTTAGCCTTCCCATTCCCTCCTCATGCTCCATGCTCCCCCATCTACAGCCCCAGTGGAGGTGATGGTAAACCAGTGTATGATACCTGGACTTCAAGTTTAATTCCTATTGCCATGAGTAGTTGTTGGCCTCTAGGGGGCAGACTGTGCTGCCTTTCTGTAGAGAACCAGGAGCTGGTTCTCTCCACAGGGATGCTCAAACCTGGCTGCAAGTTGACATCACCAGGGGAGTTTTAAACATACAGATTCTGTGGCCACTCTCAGAGATCTTGACCTGAGATGCAGGTCAGGTTTTGGGAATGTGAAGAGTTCCCCGGGTGATTTTAATGTGCAGCTCAAGTTGAGGTGGCTCAGATGGTAAAGCGTCTGCCTGCAATGCAGGAGTCCCGGATTCGATCCCTGGGTCGGGAAGATCCCCTGAAGAAGGAAATGGCAACCCAATCCAGTACTCTTGCCTGGAAAATTCCATGGATGGAGGATCCTGGTAGGCTACAGTCCATGGGGTAGCAAAGAGTCGGACACGACTGAGAGACTTTGACTTCACTTTCACTTTCAAGTTGAGAACCATAGCCCCAGAGCTTTAAATTCTTCATTTTGGGGGTGAAGATTAAAAAAGAAAGCAAGAAAGCACAGGCACCCAATGACTATTTAATGTGCAAACCAACAAATCACCTAGATGTCTTTTAAAATGCAGCCTACTCTAGTTCAGTAGGTCCAGGGTAAGCCTGGGCTTTGTAACAAGCTCCCAGGGCATGCCCACACTGCTGTCCCCAGACTCTGCCTGAGGAGCTAGGCTGTAGCTTGGATGAATACGAGATGATAATTATGGCTCTTTAGGTCAACTGAGACTTTACCTCTATGAGGGTCAGTTTTCTGATCTATAAAATGCCGTCAAGCAGCAGCACTTACATCACAGAATTCTTGGATGCTTAAATGGGGTAACATAGTATACATTTCTAGCACAATAGAAATGTTCAATTTTTTATTGTTAAGATATCTGACACTCTTGGAATGCTTACTGTCTGCCAGGAATGTTCCAAGTGCTTTCAAACCTTAACTCATTCAAGTCTCAGAACAACACTGTGAGGTAGGTATTATTATTTCATCATCCCTGTTTTACTGATTTTCCAAGCTACTGAGGCACAGAGAGGTGGGGTGTCTTAGTCTACTAAGCAGGCCTGGGAGCAGCTAAGTCAGTGTTTGAACCCAGGGAAAATCTGGGCTCGTATTCCGTCCCAGGGCTGCCATCACTGCAGGCCTGACCTTCTAGAGGCCCTGACTTGAAGGCTCCTCTGCAGAACCGGCGGTGCACCAGCAGGGGGCAGCGTAGGGCTACATGCGTGCAGAGACCACTTAACTTCATGCGCTGTGCTGGGCTGCTAAGTCGCTTCAGTCGTGTCCGACTCTGCCACCCCATAGACAGCAGCCCACCAGGCTCCGCCGTCCCTGGGATTCTCCGGGCAAGAACACTGGAGCGGGTTGCCATTTCCTTCTCCAGAGGATGAAAGTGAAAACTGAAAGTGAAGTTGCTCAGTCGTGTCCGACTCTTAGCGACCCCATGGACTGCAGCCTACCAGGCTCCTCCGTCCATGGGATTTTCCAGGCAAGAGTGCTGGAGTGGGGTGCCATTGCTGGGCACCTCACCACAAAACGTGCGCTGGGTCTATATCGTCTTAGGACTCCCTTCTCTTTTCCTCAAGTTGTTGCTTAGGAGGCCACCCCGGGATCCATAAAGAAAGAAGAGTCCTACCGAACAGGTTCAAATCTGAGTTCCCCAATGTAAGGCCGGGTTTGCAGGGAAAGCAAGGAGCAAAGTGAGTTTTCTGCATCCCTTCTTTACCCCAGAAGTGTAACCAGCCGAGGAAATCTACAAATCTGTCTTTATACTGAAAGTCCGCAAAGACTGGGGAGGTAAATTAGGTAAATTATTAAAAAAAAAAAAAAAAGGTAAGTAATTATTAAAAGAAAAGAAAAAGGTAAATTATTAAAAAGAATTAGAGTTAGGGTGAGGGTTAGGCAGGTAAATTCGGGAATTCCTCCTGAGTACCACAGAGCAGTCTGGAGTTTCCAGGCATCCATGTGGGCACACAGGGCATTCCCACCGGCCCCTAGGAGACTCTATTTAGAGGATTACCTTGGAATGATGGAGGGTATTTCTTGTGGAGTCACCGGGAAGGGGCAAGTGAATGTGAGGTGCAGTGCATGGATAGGAGTTCAACGGCCTGTGTGTAAGGCATTCTGAGCTTGGAGGAGGAATGCACCCACACGCAGTGGCAAAACTGCAGTTCTGTGGTGCCAGTGACTGTAGAAGGTAGGAGGCAGAGTGGGTGGAGCTGGCTGGGGTCAGGGAAGCCCTGCGGGGAGGCGGGTTGGCAGTGGCAGCCGCTGGGCAAGGCCCCAAGCCCGCCCTGGAGGTATTGTGGTCTTGCAATGTGGCTGCACAAGGAGATAACTATTTCCAGGACGGAGGTGCTGACCTTTGCCAGAATGCTTCGGGAGGCCTCCAGTCACCAAGCAAACTGCGGCCATGACTGGCCTGAGGCATTTTTCACCAACCTCGGAGACAGTGGTCTGGGACAGAGGTCATCAAGGCGAAGTAGGAGCAGGAGCTTGGGGGTCAGCGCAGGGAGCCCCACTCAGGGCTCTTAGGTGGGTGCTGGGGATTCTGTTTATTCTGGAGTGGGTCTGGGGCATGAGCTCTGAAGGCTTTAGAGGACCAGCTGAGACCACTCTCACTTAAGGCTGCAGACGTCTGGAGCACTTGCCTAGGGCTCCAGTAGAGGCTGTGGTCATGGAGAATGAAGATCCCAACCAATGGGGGCACGATGGTACCCCTTCACAGACGCCCTCACTCAGGACAGAGGCCAGAGACTCAGCTCAATTCAGGAACTTAGGCAGAGAGTTCATGATCAAGGTGAGCAAGCGCCGGTGGGCGGTGGTCCTGGTGTTCAGCTGCTACTCCATGTGCAACGCCTTCCAGTGGATCCACTACGCCGCCATCAATAACATCTTCATGTACTTCTATGGGGTCAGTGCCTTTGCCATCGACTGGCTGTCCATGTGCTACATGCTGACCTACATCCCTCTGCTCCTGCCCGTGGCCTGGCTCTTGGAGAAGTTCAGCCTGCGGACCATCGCTCTCCCTGGCTCTGCTCTCAACTGCCTGGGGGCCTGAGTGAAGCTGGGCAGCCTGAAGCCACATCTCTTCCCAGTCACCGTGCTGGGTCAGGTCATCTGCTCCATGGCCCAGGTCTTCATCCTGGGTATGCCCTCCCGCATTGCTTCCGTCTGGTTTGGGGCTAACGAGGTGTCAACCGCCTGCTCCATAGCTGTCCTCAGCAATCAGATGGGTAGAGGAGTGGGCTGGACCTGTGATTTCTGAAAAGCTGTTTATGTCAGACTATTCTGTGTCACTAGAATTTAGCAGATGTTTTTTGCCTGTCCAACCAGCTTTCTTTCTTTTTTTAAAAATTAATTTATTTATTTTAATTGGAGGCCAACCAGCTTTCTTAAAGTGTAGCATCTCCCATACCACACGGAAAGGCAGACCAGGGCCCTGGGGGCACTCACCTGTTTGCTCACCTTCTTTATACACAGCTGAAGCCAGGATAGCGGGAGCAGAGCTTGGTGTCTAACTCCTTCCCTGGGGATTAGAGTTAAGTCCAAGACGATGGAGTGGAATTCTTACTCTTACTATCCAAGGCCTAGAAACCATGGAATGGCCTGGCAAGCTCATATCTTAATCCTTTGTCTTCCCTTCTGTTTTGGAAGAAAATCTCAAATTCTTTACATTTCAGTGTACTTATAGCCCAGACAGACAGGCATGTTATGAATCTCATCTTTTAAAATTGAAGTAAAACAGATATAACATATTTATAATTTAAGCCTGTGTTAAATGTATAAGTTTACCAGTTATACATCTATAATTCAATGGCATTAGTTTCACGATTTTGTATATTAGCACTATATGTACCCAAGACTTTTTTTAATCACCCTCAATAACTCTGTACCCGTTAAATAACTCGTCATTTCCCCCTCCTTCCAGCCTTTGTAAGCTCTTCTACTTTCTGTCTCTATGGATTTACCTTTTCTAGGTACTACATGTAACCAGAATCATGCAATATTTGTCCTCTGAATCTGGTTTATAAAATCTGGCTTTATTTTTTTTTAATTCTGAAAACACTCAAAAATTTGTGATTATCTTACATTTTTCAATATTTCGGGTCAGATGAGCTTTCTAGTTTGAGACTTCTGGGGAAAGTAAAGTGCAACTGAATTGCAATTCTGCTTTCTCCCTCATCCCAAAGCCCTCACCAAAGATACAGGCAGATGGGTGAGCTCAGAGGATGGTGATTCTGGGAAGGAATCTAGACCAGTGCTCCCTCAGTGGTGACCATTTACCTCACCTGTGGGGCCAGGACAAACTACAGGTGTCTGGGCCCCCAGATGGACTTCCTAATCAGATCCTCCAGGGAGGGGCCCAGGCTCCTGTGTTCTCACCCGGCTTCCCAGGTGAGGGTCGTGATCAGACTTAGAAGCAGTAGGACCGAGGAGCAGTGTGCCCTGGGACAGCGCCCTCCTGCCTGGAGCCGGGTTCATGTCAGGGCTGGTGTGTCTGTGCTACTGTTTGATGATCCACTTCCCAGGTGGAGGAGCTGGGAGGTCAGTCACTCTCCAGATTGAGGGGTGAGGATGGGTTTCGGGTGGGCCTGGTAATTCTGATTCATTTAAGGTTTCAAAAATATACTCAAAGCTCTAGGGGGCAGGGTGGGGGAGGCCCTGAAGACCTGTGAGGTGGAACCATAGCATAAGTGCATGCTAAATGGTAGCCTGCCAGGTCCCTCTGTCCACGGGATTCTCCAGGCAGAATACTGGAGTAGGTTGCCATGCCCTCCTCCAGGGGATCTTCCCAACCCAGGGATTGAACCCAGTTTCTTATGTCTCCAGCACTGGCAGGTGGGTTCTCACCTGGGAAACCCCAGGAGCCACAGCAGAAACCCATAATCTCTGTTTCTTTGACCTTCAACTCAGTGCAGCGTGCAAGAGGAGGCTCTGGCTGGCTGGGGTTGACTTCTGTCCTGGCTGTGTTGCCTTGGCAGGCAGTCTTGAGGGCCTGACAGTTCTGTGAAATCAAGTCTATATCTTCAGTTTGGCATCCAGGGCCCCTCCTCCCTCGCCTTTCCCATCCAGCCTGTTTCTTGTTCTCTCCCAGTCTTTTCTCGGTTATGATCAGTCTGGCTCCCTAATTCTCTCCTTGAAAATACACTGCTTAGAGTTTAAGCCTAAAGCCTTGGAGAGTGACCTCAGTAGATGGTGGACCAAAAAGCTCCCTTTTTCTCCCATAAAAACATTAAGTAAACTAGAAACTGCCTGAAATAACCTTCCCTATGGGGTTTCTGGAAATCAGCCCAAGATCTATGGCAACCTAGCAAATACCAAACCAAGAAAAAGCCACATTCAAAACAGTAGATAGTTTCATGGCTGTTTTACTCACCCAGGCCCTGACCGCACCCATCTGCTGTGCTTCCCAATACCTGGTTCCTTTCTGCAAAGCTAAGAGTGCAAACAGACCAAATTTACAGTGTTTCAACCCAACTGTGTTCTATATAGTAACAATGAGCAATTCAAGAAGGAAATTAAAAAAACAATTTCATTTACAGTGCATGGAAAACAATTATTTAGGAATAAGTTTAACCAAGGAGAGGAAACACTTGTACACTGAAAACTAGAAAATGTTACTGAAAGGATTAAAGTCATAAATAAATGGAAAGACATCCTATGTTCATGAATTGGAAGATTTAATATTGTTAAGGTGTCAATAGTATCCAAATAAGTCTATAAATTCAATGCAATCACTGTCAAAATCCCAAGGATGTTCTTCACAGATGAAGAAAAATGCATCCAAAAATTCATGTGGAAGCTTAAAGGACACCGAGTATCCAAAACAATCTTGGCGATGAATCACAAAGTTGGAGGTCTCATGGCACCAGTGGACTTGAAGGGCAGTCCTTGCCCTTCTGTGTAATTGCTGAGTTTCCATGGATACTGGCCTTAGTTTTCCTGTGGTTTGTGTTTCCCCCTCTTCCTTAACTTTTCTCCTGTCCTCGTTCTTTCTTCCCCACCTTCTCTTCCGACTAAATGGGAAACTTGTCAAAGGACTGGAACTGTGACTAATACATCTTCCCCATATCTTAGGGCTCTGGGCATAGCAGGCACTTACAAATAAATGGACAGATTAATAAACAGGCATTGCAAGCTGCTGGTGCCATGGGACCCCCACCCAGCTCTCAGGCAGCTGTGTGTGGAGCTTCCAACAGAAGACTGCTTCCTTAGCGCATCAGCTTGCTTATCTGTAACAAGAAATCCAGCTGTACGGGGTGGACACCCAAGTTCAACCAAGTGTGAAAATCTCTGAACCAGATAAGCCTCCACATACCTTCACTGAGTTCACATTCATTGTAGTCTCCATGGTTAGGAGTTGGGCCCTGGGACTGAGAGTCTTCTCCTAAGAGCCTGGTGGTTTTAGTTTGGTAGCAGATGGCATTGATCAGTGGTAGCAGATGGGAGCTGGTAGGGCTCTGATAGCCCTTGTAACCGAACTGCCTTCTCTCTCTCTGAACATCTTCTCTTTCTCCTTAAAGAAGAGATACCTTATTATTTATGCCAGGATTGCTAGCAAAGTGTTCTCATGCTACTCTGTAAGAATCCACGTCATTTTCTAGAGTGTCCCAACCCTGGCCCACATCTCTGTCCCTTGCAAGAAACCCACACAGCTCTCTGTCCATGCAGTCTTTGTTTCTCCTTGAATTCTACTTGTCTTGGATTGCAACCCTTCCATCAGCCCCGTGTCTTTCCGGTTGACAGCAGGAAATGCAGCAAATGAGAGTCAGGAAATTGAAGGCTCTCAGCGCCTTGGTCTATCTCATAAAGTGCAACCTCAGATTAAGGTCTATACTTTCTATTTCGAGGGCATGGCCTCTAACCACTATAGTCAGTTTTGGAAACTACGGTTTCATTGAAACGATGTACCACATCCTTTACTTATTGATTGAAAAAAATTGTTTTTGAGCATCTACTCTGTGCCAACCCACATTCTGAGCTCTAAGGATACAATAGGGAATGGGAAAGAAAAAGTCCTTGAGTTCTCGCTTAAGGGAAAAGAATTAGACTATAAGGCATCACTTATGGAGTGACCAGTGGTAGAAGTGTCAGTCCACATAGGAGGGCAGATGACCTTATGTAAGTAGATCTTGAAACTCCCTAAATCCCAGGCCAGAGCTGATGGTGTGGCTGGGAACAGTAGTTCTGTAGATCTCAGAGCAACATAACATGGTTGGGCTCTGCTGTTCTGCATTGTGTAGTGAGTTGGGTGAACATCTTACCCCAGATGCAGCCTAGTGGTTTCTGGGTTTATTTTTGCTCTGCCAAGTGTGTGAGCTGGAATGACAAGTGGTGCATGATGCAAGTTTGGCTTCCTCCTGTCACCTGAAGCCCTCAGGCTGCATAGGGATGCATTTAACTGGGACATTGACCTGTAAGTGCTCGTGACCACTGCTCTTGAAACAGTGTTTGGATATCACCCCTGAGTTTGCAGAAAGGGTAAAAATCAAATCAAAAATAAATATTGAATATTTTCATCTGCATCTCCCTCCTTCATTCACCCCATTTTTTTTTAGATAAGAGAGTAACAAAACTAAGTACTTTAATAAGAATCTTTACCTGTGTATGTAAATATTGACACTTTAACTTATTCAACTCAGAATCTGAAATTAGCACTTGATCAAATTAGCTGGACAACAGTTTTTCATCATCATTCACTTTATTTTGGTTAAACACTTTCTTTTGAGGAAAATAAACCATACTGATCAGCGTCATAGGCTCTGGATTCAAAACTACAGCATGTTTTAAACTCAAGCCCTATAGCTATGTGACCCTGGATGAGTCATCTTTCTGCACGTCGGTTTCAACATCTCTGAAACTGGGACAGTGTTAAGTCCCTCTTTCTGGGGTTGCTGTGAGGATTGTGATACTTCATGGAAAGCTCCAGACATTTAACTGATTAGCATGCTTGTGCGGTGGACTCTAGAGGTAAATGTGAGACCTGCCCTCATGGGGTTGATAGTCTAGTTGGGGAGATAGATGCTAATTGAATAAGCATACAGATATAAAAGCACCTATGTGGGGACTCAACCTGAGCTGGGGGACCAGAGGAAGCTTCCCTGAGGAAGTGGGGCTTGAGCTCAGGCCTGAAGGATATCTGCACTTATGGTGAAACGGAGCTGTGAGGGCCTGCTAGTCCGAGCAGAGAAGCTGGTGTAAAAATCCTTGAGGTCCCCAGGCACAGAGGAGCCCTTTTGGTGTTTGAAACACAGAAAGGAGGCCTGTGGGACAGAGTCCCGGGAAATAGTTGACTAAGGGCAGATGACTCCACATGTAGAAATGTGTGTGTGTGTTTAGGATTTTGGGGTTTCTCTGATAGCTCAGTTGGTAAAGAATCCGCCTGCAAGGCAGGAGACCTCAGTTCGATTCCTGGGTCAGGAAGACCCCTGGGGAAGGGATAGGCTGCCCACTCCAATATTCTCAGGCTTCCCTTGTGGCTCAGCTGGTAAAGAATCCGCCTGCAATGTGGGAGACCTGGGTTCGATCCCTGGGTTGGGAAGACCCCCTGGAGAAGGGAAAGGCTACCCACTCCAATGTTCTGGCCTGGAGAATTCCAAGGACTGTATAGTCCATGGGGTCACAAAGAGTCGGACATGACTGAGTAGGTTTCACTTAGGATTTTTATCCCTGATTGAAAAACCCAAGGAAGCCACTGGAGTGTTTTAAGCAGGAGAGGTACATAATCTGACCACATTTTCCAAATCTCACTGGCTAGAGAGAGGAGAGAGGCTGGGAGTAGGGCCACACTGAAGCCATAGGAAGGCCCATGCCAACCTTTTTTGAGGCCATAGTCTCCTAGATTCCCTTGACATGTGTTATGGATTCCCTGCAGCTGAAAATATAGGTACTCAGGACCATCCTAGATCTGAGGGTTCATAGTGGGGTTGGAACTGTTGACCTTTGTCACCAGGCCAAGTTGGGAAACACTGCTCTGGGTGGTGTAAAAATGAGGAAAAATTAACACCACTTTAAAGGAATTTATACAAAGTAAGTTCCCGAGGAACTGAGAATCCAAGTTGGTTGTCTGAGTAATTGTGTATTTTGCCTACGACTATATTTTGTTGACTCAGAAGGCTAAAAAAATCTGCCTGCAACGTGTGAGACCTGGTTTCAGTCCCTGGGTTGGGAAGATCCCCTGGAGCAGGGAATGGCTACCACCCCAGTATTCTTGCCACTTCAGAATTCCATGGACAGAGGACCCTGGCAGACCACAGTCCGTGGGGTTGCAGAGTCAGAAATGACTAAGCAACTAAGCACAGCCCTTACATCCATACATGAGTACTGGAAAAACCATAGCTTTAACTATGTGAACCTTTCTTGGCAATGTGATGAGTGCCTAGTAGATACTCAAAACTAGCCAGCCATCCTACCCTCTTTCCACTCCCACTGCACCCATCTTCTGCCCTTACCACTGAGAGTACAAGGTGATTTGTAGAAAGAATTTGGTCCCTAATGGGCAGACCTATGTGATTCTGCCAGCTTTCTGTAGACAAGGCCTGCCACCAACATCCATTCGTCCATCTGTCCAGCCAGCCAATGTGACTGAGTTCCTGCTAAGGCACAGGCTTAGGAATTAGGATCTGGGTATAGAACTCTGCACACTCACTGACCACAGCTCTCAAGAAGCAGGGAAAATATATGTCCAGTGCAATCCCTATGTTTTGATTTCCACACTGGGCATCAAGGTACCGCCAAAGCTGACTTCCTCCTGGATAAAGGTCACAGAGGGACAGCATTGCTACCTGTCTCTGGCCAGGGCTACCTCGGGCACCTGTGCTGCATCCTGCATCCTGTGGCTGCTGGAAAGGGACCCACCCAGGCTTAGAGTGTGGATGGAGGATGGAGTGTGTCTGTGAGGGTCCAGGTGTGTAGTGTGGAACTAGCTGGGGGAGCGTACCTGTCGAGGCAGAAGATCACTGGGAAATAGGATCCCCAATATCAGGGTCCCTTTGAGAATCCCAGAACTTTGAGTGATGTTCCATATCTTCCCTCATTCTTACAAAAGGGACCCTCTGGGATCCCATTTAACTTCTAGATCTGCAACTTCAGAGCACTTAGGAAACCAGAGAGGATGTGCAGTGGCCCAGCTTCCCAGCTGTGAAGGATACAGTTGCCCCCCTGTCTTTGGCTAGTTTTTATGCTCAGTGTCTTGGGGATCAGCAGTTGAGAAGCAGGACTCAGCTCTGACAGATTGATGTAAGTGAGGATCAGATAAAGTGCTAAGGATATGAAATGCCTTCTCTCCTGGAGGATCCTGCTCACTCACACCTTTCTCATGACTCTTAGCCCTGAAGGGCAATCCGGGTCTCATGGAGGAGTCATTTCCTGGAGATGCCAGGAGATCTGCTTTCTCAACTCTGTGTAACTCCAACCAAGTCATGAAACCTCTAGATGTTAACCTCACTTAGCCTCCATTTGGTCCTCTAATAATGGGATTATAGTAGAGGGTGACAAAGGAACTCTGAAACTATTAACATTCAATCATCTCAACCCACAAACATCTCCATTTGTGTTACCTTTCATATTTTTGTTTTAAATCTCCCTGCTCCCACTAGATTATATATTTCTCCCCATGAGGGCAGAAAAACTGTCATATGCATTTCAGTACTCCCTAAGATATCTAGCAGAATATATCTCACACAGTAGATACATAAAGGTCTGTTTGATTTGTTGACTGTATACTCTGTACATTAGAAGGCCCCTACATTGAGGCTATTGATGATAACTTTGTGAATATCCCAGAGCTGAAATCAGTAGTGGCTGTAATAGGCTGGAAACCCAATCATGATGATCAGCACAGTGGCAGCTGATGAGTGGTGTTATAGTTGGCCTGAAAGCCAATTTCTCCTCTACCTGCAGTTGCTTTCAAGTTCAGTAAAGGAAAAGTGGGACCCTAACACAAAGACTTACTCTTACTCAACTTCATTCACTCAGAATCTGAGACTTGCCTGAGTTGCCATGCTGTTGTCCAATTTCTGCCTTGTTATTTCACATGGCAGAAGGGTATGGGGAGTTGTATCACAGCTACTTCCTGAGTCAAGACATTTTTCACTTTGGAAACACCCAAGGCATGTTATCTATCAGGTCACTGGAGTTTGAACTCCAGTGTAGATGTGAGATGTTTCAATTCGTTTGCATGTGTGTGTGTGCATATGTGTGTTTACAGTCAGTTTGCATGTCCCTTGTCCTGTGTGTATAAATTTTTGTGGCAGCCTGTAACTTCACACTATAGATTGTAAGTTACTAGGTTAGTTACACAATGAACTTAAGCATTTTTGTCTGTAAATCTGTTAACAGCTCTAGGCTTCCGTCTCTCAATGCAAGGTCTTGGGGTTGTAGTGTGTAGGATTTTGCCCTCAACTGGTCTCTCAGCTCCAAGTTAATAGGTTCAGTGAAATCAAGAATTTAAATGGCAGGGAAAAAAATCAACATTGTTTTATTATACCATAGAGATGAGAGTATAGGAACCATTTTTCAGTAGTTTGCAGCTAGAGAAAAGCCTGCACTGAGAAAAATAACTTTTTCAATGGTTATTGATAGGGAGGGTGATCAAGGGTGTGTGAGTCGAGTTGTGAAGCAACAGAAAGCTCTCTGATGTCTTTTATGGGGAAACAATCCCTGTTTGGGTTTTAAGAACTGAAAGTTGGGGATTACATTTCTCATTAGAAGTGTCTTAAATATATGCTATTACCTCTTGGTCATTCATATTACCATTGACTGTCTGTTATAGCTTGGAATTGCCCTTGGGTTCTTCATCCCTCCTGTCTTGGTACCCCACATTGACAACCCTGATGAGCTTGTCTACCACATGAGCATCTTGTTCTACATGACAGCAGGCGTGGCCACTCTGCTCTTCATCCTTGTCATCATTGGTAAGGGCATTGATTGATTCACAGGAGGTGGGGAGGCAGGCAGGTTCTGGGGACTTGGGTGAGGACTGTGTGAACATGGCCCTAGAACACCATTCTGGGTGCCATGTAGTCTATAAAATATATCTGCAGAAACGGTAGGCCTGGCTTCCAATGGTCTTCAAGAGTTCTAGCCTAAGTAGTTGTTGCTGATACAGGGCTAGTTGGTCCTGTGCACTTTGCTAGCTGCTCAGTAAAGGTTTAATTGAAACTCACCAGTTCCCGAGTATGACCTCATTAGAATTAATGGAAAGCCTGCTTATCCCCTTGACGAGACCCCAGTGAGAACTGATGATGTCACAGGCCTTGTGCTGAGTGCACTTGATCTCACTGACACCAATAGGGAGCTACTAGTATCGATCTTACTTACCAAGAGCAACAGTGACTTGAGTGGAGTTAAAGAAATTAGCTTTAATAATCTGCATTTCTGGAATAAAACAAAATAAAACAAGATTGATTCACAAACACTAATACTCTCATAGATTCATCTGAGAATGCCTGGGGCCCATGTTTTTTAAATGCTTTTTAAAAATACACATCAGATATACTTAATATGGAAAGATCTAGAAAATACAAAAAAGCATAAAGAATGACCATTTACTTAACCTTATACCAGTCAATCCCAACCACCAACCCCAGAGAACTGCTATTAATTTTATATGCATATGTATTTAATCATTGAGATATTTGGTTGATATAGTTTATGTCCCCTTTTATCATCTGAGTGATATTACACAGACTATGGTAAATTCAGAAGGAGGGTAGTAAAACTTTTCATTTTCAGGTTAATTGTCTTCCTAATATCTGAAAGTACCTCCTCACACATTAAAGGTTCCAATCCTTCCTGCCAGCCCCATCTCCTGAATCAAACAGATTTATAATCATGTACTTCATCCAGCTGTTCACACTGTGTCATTCGCTCCCTGGGCTCCAAGGTGAGGAAGGGCTACCTGATGAGTTTTATTTTCATTTTTGGCCACACTGCATGGAATGTGGGATCTTAGTTCTCCAAGCAGGGATCAACTTCTGCCCCATGAAGTGGCAGCACAGTGTCTTAATCAATGGACTGCCAGGGAAGTCCCCTGATGGTTTTTTAGAATTCACAGTATCTCTTGGACAGAGATATTGGTGTTCCTGGAAAGGTGACAAGCTTTGAGTCTATGGTTGAGAACAGGAAAGACCAATCTGAAAGGGACCCTCTTACTTGGTCAGACTTGAAGTTTCAAATTGCAATCTGCCCAGCTCCAATTTCTCATGTTTGTAGCAGATGAGGGCCAGGTTCTTTGCAGTTGAGATCCTAGAGATAGGACATTTCTGCTCTTTGGCATTTTACTCTTAAGCAAATATAGTAGCTCACTGAAAAGAATTGAAAAATCTTACCTGTACCGTTGGCTTGTGGTTGCCAAATCCCTGAGGAAATAAATGCTGTTGCAGATGTTTAAAAATCCTCTTTCCTTGGCTTCTTTCCCCTGATAGAAGAAGAGGTAAACAAGCAAGATCTTGGATGAAAGTTTCATAATATCGGGAAGTTACCCAGGACTATTTCCAGAGAAGAAAGAAGCAGAGCTCTGAAGTCTGGGCTGGAGGTCTTACTGGGTGGAGTGAGGACTCCTTTCATGTTCAAGAGAGTAAGCCCTGTTTCTAGGGGTTCCTCTAGCTGGAGACCAGCTCCTGACCTTTCAGGAGTGTTCTCATGAAGGCTAGATGAGGCAGTATGATGTGCCAGGGTCCAGCCTCGGCAGGATCCAGGGGTACCCTCAGGATGAATGGCGTTGGTGAGAGAAGACAGGTGAGACCAGCCTTTGTGAAGCCAAGTCTGTCTTTTACTTTTTGACAACAGTTTATATACCCTCACTCAGAATGTATCCAAGGTACGAGAGGCTTACTCATGCTTACACAGGGTTAGTTTAACATTACATCAGTTTGTCCTTCAGGAAGAACAAGATGTTTTCTGCATTCTATTTCTATAGTAGATCTTTGGACATTATCTTCTGGCCTTGGGGTCTATAGACATTTTATGCAAGTCAGGTGAATGTAAACCTATTTTCCGTTTTTGTGGTGATCTTAACAGAAGAGTTGCAGTCTCATAGGGCAACAATACAGCATGTCACAGCATAGTAGAAGTATAACCTTGTTAACACAAAGGTCAATTCTTCTGCAGAAGTTGTCAGTTGAATTTATCTAAGAGGTTTACCCCATACAGACTCTGGGGCTTCAGTGAGGCAGCCTCTGCCTAGCACTCCTGGCTAATAATTAACAACCATCTCAGTGTTATCACACTAGGGCTAAGCTCTTATTTTTCTAGATCTATAACTATATTAACAATGGTTCCCATTGCACAACCTTAGCACATTAAGAGCAAAAACACAGCAAGCAAACGTTAACCCAATAACCACTTTTAGAATAATTTTTCTTGTGTTTTCTAATAGGGCTTCCTCACTCCCCAAAGGGCTCTATGTCTATTAGGGCCTTTATATGATCAGGTTCTTTATGCTGTTTTATGATTAAGGTATTATGAGCAGTCATGCATATTAGTACCAAGGGCATAAACGCATTTGCCGAACAAACTAAAATATCAGCAAAGGAGTTTAAATTAAAACACTCCTTTCATCCTGGATAATCTCATAAGATACCACCACCCGGGAGACATATTGATTAAAGTTCTAAATTGATTCTTATTTGGAAAGAGATTGGGGAAGGCCTTCTGCCTGTGTCGCAGAAATTAGAGAGTAGTCTATTAAAGCAAGCATCAGAAAGACAGATATCATCTTTAAGGTGAGCACCGGGGGCAGCTTTTTTAAATCCCTGGGATCCTGATCCGCCTTGCTCATCAGGTTTTCTCCTCATGACCTTGTCATGGGTGGGATCTCATGTGCTGGCTCACGTGGGCCCAATCAAACAACTAGTTAAACTGATGTGGCCCCCAGAGAACTGAACAGCCGTCAGTGCAGTGAAATGGATTGTACCAGCTGTACTGAAATCAGAACATAAAGAGAATGGTTTTCCCACTGTCCCTCCCCGGTCCTTCCTGTCAGAGGCCCCGTCCTGCAGGAGCATGTGTTAGTCCTCTGGCTTCTCAGGAGGCAGATGTCTGATTCCCGCTCTGAGAAACTAGGGACGGATTCGAGGTCTCTCCAATAGGAGTAGCTCCTTTCCCTTACTCAGGGAGTGGCAGCATGTGCCAGGCTCTGTGCTCAGCATGGGCAGCCCAGCCCTTTCCCTGGGAGGAGCTCTGCTGCTGAGTCCTTAACTGGGTAAGGACTTAATTCAGTAATCTCAGAGGCTCAGCTCTCACTTCCTTTCTGTCCCTGTGTTACTCCTGAACTTCTTCAGTGTTCCGTGGGATGTTATTCCCTAATTATTAAGGGACCCCTGATCCTTGAGCACTTTCTGGGAAGTGGATTCCCTGGGATTTTTCAGTGCTCTACCACTTGGTATTTGCCATTTATTGCAGGA